GGGGGGAAAGGAGAGGGGGAGGCAGGGCTGGGAGGCTTCCTGGGGGGATGGAGAGAAAGAGCAGGTTGGCAGGAGGAGGGGGTCCAGCCCGGGAACAATAAATCAAAGGAAAGGGGAGTTACTGCCCGGTCAAGGAGCTTCTGAAACCCTGGGCCACAGCAGGAGTCCGGGAGGAGCAGGGCTGATGGCTGCCATCGGGGTCCCGCAGAGAGATTTCCTCTGCCCGCTGGCAGTAGGCAACAGCAGGCAAGTCTGCCTGCACAACACGGGGTCCAGCATTCCGGGCAGCACAGCTCAGGGTCCAGATCACCCCTGGGCACGACTGAATTCAGTCCCTAATCAGGAAGGTGCCTCACCAGCTCTGGACATTAGGCCTCCCAGGTCCTGCAGCCACAGGGCTCAGTAAAGGGTACACAACCCCACTGACAGGGTTTTTAGCACCATCCGTTCATTTTCCTGGGGCTTCCCTCCCTCCCGGAGCAGCCTGACACAACCAGGTTGGGCAGCCTGATAGAAGTCCTGCCAGGCGTCAGAAAGAGACATTCATTCCAGTTCATCCATTTGGCCATTTTTTTTTCCTTATAAGAATATCATTAGGAAGGTTAGCTGTTCAACTTCCCCCAACATGCAGCAGTGCCAGGGGCTGCTGCTGGCACCGTGGATACCAGTCCTTGAATGCCAGTCCCTGCATGTCAGTCCCTGGGTACCAGTCCCTTGGTGCCAGTTCCTGGATGCTAGACCCCGAGCACCAGTCTCTCTGTGCCAGCAGTAAATACGAGGCTTGGGGTGCCAGTCCCTGGGTGCCAGCCGTCTCGGGAGCCAAAACAAGTGTTTCATAACCAGGACTCAAGCGCTTGCCCCTAGTTCCCCCCAGAGCCTCATCCCATTCCCGCCGCGGGGGAGGCTGCTCCAGCCTATCTCCTCGGCATATCTCCAGTGCTGCTCCAGCCTATCTCCTCGGCATATCTCCAGTGCGAGACAGCAGCAGCTCCCGGTAATCCGGGTTAATAAACAGGGAGCAGTGTCGGGATCACTGTCAGCAGCAGAGTTGCTCCTCGCCCTGCTCCATCTGGGGTCAGGGGGTGCCAGCAGTGGGGTCACACCTCACCCTGCTCCAGCTGGGTTCAAGGAGTGCCCACACCACCGGTGTCTGCCCACACACAGGAGCTGGCATCAGGTATATCCAGAGGCTGATGTGATGGCAGTATTGGGATCAGGGAAGCTCCTGGTGCTGAGTTAGGAGGGAAGTAAGGGGGAAAAGCCTAGAGCTGACCCCAAAAGTGCCATTGTGAAGGGCGGTGCAAGGGGAAAGTCCTTTAGAGAAAATATGGAGGATGCTCCATTGTGGAGCCGGTGGAGCCAACAGCATGGGCTGCAATTCCCTCCCTAGCAGCACACCCTGAGCTCTGGGGTCTCAGGCTCAGACATGCTCCTCCACACCACAACTTTTCTCTGCAGAAAGAGGAAGAGGAGATGGACAGTGAGAGTGTGAAAGGTGTAGGGAGGCCCAGCTCTGTCCATGCTCGCTATGGAGCCACAAGGCTCAGGCGATAAGACCAGGCGTCAAGAGGGGCAAGAGGTGATGGCCAAGCTCTGGACCATCCCTGCTGCTGCACGGATGGCACTGGCATTCCGGGACCTGTCCATCGACCTGGGGACAAGGAGCTGCTGCAGGCGGGTGGCTGCCCTCACATCAGCCCCTGGCCACGGTTCATGACGCTGCAGCTCCCCAAAGCCATCCCTTTCCCTGCCCAGGCCCCATAGCGCTGGGGGGGTTCCCAGATGGGGAGACTCCAGGGCTGGTGCTGCCCTAACACTGTCGCGAGTCCCTCCTCGAGCAGCGCGGGGCCGGAGAGGTGCGAGGCTGCGCGGGAGGGTCGGTATCCTCCCCCTCTCCCTGTCCCATCCCGGCCGTCCTGTCTACCTCCCCGCGGCAAGGGTGTGAGCCGGTGCTGCCCCCTCCCACCGCACCTTCCCCCCCGTGCCCCCCGCCCCCCCCGGGGATCAAGTTCACGCCCGACCCACTGATGCGGGGCGCCCGGCCCGGCCCCGCCGCTCTCAGAGGCCCCGGCGGCGCCGCAGCAGGGAGGCAGCGGCCGGCAGCCCCCGCATGGAGCCCTAGGGCGGCGGGCAGCATGTTCAGCCCGGACGGGGGGCTGCCGGCCGCCCCCTTCGGCCTCCTGACCGACGGCGGCCCACCCTTCACCCGTGCCGGCTTCGACGGGGCGCCCGCCCAGCCGCTCTTCTTCCCCTTCGCCGCCGCCGCCGCCGAACCCGAGCCCGCCCGCGACCCGCCGCCGGCCCGCGCCTGGCTGCCCCCGCCCGCCCCCGCGCCTCCTGCCAAGGCGGAGGCGCGCCCGAGCCGGTCCTGCAGCCAGCCCGAGCCCGAGCCCCGCACTGCCGCCTGCTGCGGCCCGACCTGGCCGCCCCCGCCCTGGGCCGGCCCCGCGCCCCCTGGCCCCGCCGCCCTGCCTGGGCCGCCTTTCCCCGGCCCGGCCGCCCCTCCTTTCCCCGGTCCCCAGGTCTGCCCCGCCACGCTGCAGCCGGGCGCCGGCGGCACCTCGGGGCTGGGCAGCAGCGGCAGCTCCAGCGGCGCCGCCAGCGAGGGCGGACACTCCAGCGACAGCGGCGAGGAGGTGAGACCCCACGGGGTGAGGATGAGCGGCCTTCCGCCGCCCGCACACGGCGTGTCTCGGCTTTCCTCCCCGCCCGGTGCCGCTGCCGGGACAGGGACCAAAGCCGCAGCTCGCCAAGACTCCGCCGGTGCCTCCTGTTCGGCCCTGCCGTCTGGTGCCCCCGGGGAAAAGCCCTGATACGGCGCTAGGGCTCACCCCGACTCAATCACCCTCTCAGCGGGGGGAGCGCCTCGGGGAGGGTGTTTTGGGGTAAAAGAGGGAATTTGGGGACTTAGGGGGGGGCAGTTTTCTCTTTGT